AGAGAGAGAAGGAAGGAAGGAAGGACGGAAGGAAGGAAGGAAGGAAGGAAGGAAGGAAGGAAGGAAGGAGAAGAAAGAAAGAAAGAAAGAAAAAAAGAAAAAGAAAGAAAGGAAGGAAGGAAGGAAGGGAGGAAGGGAGGGAGAAAGAAGGGGAGAAAGAGGGAGGGAGGGAAGGAAGGAGGGGGAGAAAGAAAAGAAAGAAAGGAATAAAGAAAGAAGGAAAAGGAAGGAAGATGGAAGAAAGAGAAGATGAACAAAGAAAGAGGAAGAAAGAAAAAGAAAGAGAAAAATAGGTAAGACCTTGTCCAAGAATGAGCCTTCCCCTGCCCCCATCCTCAACCCCAGAGAGTAGTGAGGAATTTCAGGGTCTACAGGTGAGTCCTCATGTCTCACTCTGGCCCACCACAAGAATCAAGACCCTTAGTCAATCTTAGAAGCTCCTCCTTCAGCCCCCAGGAGCCTCAGCCACCATAGAAAAGAGGCTGGAAACAACAGGTATCTGGCTGGCATCACATTCAGCCAGAGCTGGAGGGGGACAGCCTCCCTACAGCCGCCACAACCAGTGACTTTGTGAAGTATCCAATTCAAGAAACACCCCCTTTTGAAAGATGAGAGGTGTACTCTTAGGTGTATACCCAGAAGAACTCAAAACAGGTGTTCAAACAAAGACTTAGAGGCAGATATTCGTAGCAGCATTATTCATGAAAACCAAAAGGTAGAAACAACCTAAAGTCCACCAACTGATGGATGGATAAGCGAAATGTGGCATGTTCTTACAATGGAATGTTATTGAATCACAAAGGAAAAGAGATGCATTCTACAACATGAATGAACCTTGAAAACAAACATTATCCTAAGTAAAAGAAGCTTGGCACAAGAGGACAAATACTGTATCCTTCCATGTATATGACATGTCTGAAATAGGTGAGTCCACAGAGACGAAGGGTAGGTTCGTGGTTGTCAGGGACTCAGGGAAAAGGGTAACAGAAGTCACTGCTTAATGAACATGGGGTTTCCTTTTAGGATGATGAAAATATCCCGGAATTAGGTAGAGGCAGTAGTTGCACAATACTGTAAATGTACTAAATGCCACTGAATTATACACTTTAAAATGGTAAATTTTAGGTTATGTAAATTTTACAATAAATTAAAAAAAAAAAAAACAGGAAGTAGCCCATCCAATCTCCATCTATGGGTGACCACTGGGGCTGAATAGCTCTACCCATGGGCTTTCCTAGGATGCCTGTCCCTCAACACTTAGCACTGAGCAGGCAGGCACTCAGAAAGACCAGGGAAGGAGGAAAACCTTTATTCTCTGTATTTTTCTCCACGAAACATGAACCTCCTGCATACCCCACCCCAGTCACTCTGTGCCCCTAACCAGAAATATATACATAACTTCCATATACATATGCTTTATATTACATGTGATATACACATATACTGTCAAGCCCTTCCATACCTCTACTGTCTATGCCTTTCCCCCTTCTCCCACACCCTAGGACTCTGCTACATCCCTTGCCATCTCTCCAGTTCCTCCAGTTACCTCCATGTCCAGCTCAGATCCTCCCCTGATGCCCCTTCTCTGACCTCTGCCCACACATCTGGGTTTCGACAGTCCAACCAAGCAAACACTTGATTCCATTCACTCCCTTATCCTTCCCTTTCGAGTAGCTCTCCAGCCCGTAAAGGCCCAGAGATGTCTTACCCCTGAGCTGGGCACATGGGAGCTCCTTGGGCACTGACTGTTGGTTCTAAGCCCAGAGCTACACTAGGGACCTCTCCCCGAACACTCCCACACAGTTCATAATCTGGTGGGAATCGCCAGCAGCAGAGCGGGGTCAGTGTGTTCCCAAGAAGAAGACCAAAGTCTACCACCTGCGAGGCGATGGTGGAGTCTCAGGTCATGTCAGCCTGACAGCAGACCAATCTTAGATCTCTAATCAGTCCTAGGGTCCCTATTATACCAGGTCCCTTCCAGCTGTTTTAATTAAAATGGTGAGGAATCAAGAAATTGCAATTATGTAAAGTGAGAAGAAAATCAAGACAGTCACTCTACCCCTACTCCCAGCAAATTTCTGGATGAGCACTGATAAGAATTAGAGATAAATTCTGGCTGAGTACAGATGTCATCCCAGCAGAACTCTGGGTTAGCAACACAGCCTATCAGGTCAACACCAACACAATTAGAATGGACTTCTGGCTGACCACTGATACATCAGAGAAGACTCGTAGGTCAATGCTGATACTTTAGAAGGGAATTGGAAATACACACTAAAGTATTACAGAATAAAGGTGATGGCTCTATTAGGGTAGAAAGATGGGAAGATGCCCCTAGAAGTCAAGCTGAGAAGGAGGGTCAGTGGACCCTGGACAAAAGACAGAGGCAACAACTGGTGGCCTTCATGTGCACACTCTGTCCTTCATTTCAGGCTTAGTGGGAGCAGGAGCGGAATCTCCACGGCCGCCTACAGTAGGTGTGTGGTTGGGACCCCACTCCTGCCTTCTGCCAAAGACCTTAGCCACAGAGACCTCAGATTCCCACGATTCAAAATTTTAGATTAAAAAGGTACAATTACTGGGGTGCTCTCTGGGTTTCCATACAGTCAAGGATGGAGCAAGGCCTTCTTAGGAAGATAGTCTGCAAATATTAAGGGCCAAGTCAACTCACTGGCCCCCAGCTAACCCCTGCCCCCTGAAGGACAGGGCCCAGTTTTGCCGCTTTAATTTGGGCAAATCATTATTCTTTTCCCTCATTATTCTCACTTGCAGAGAAGGCTGAGCTGAATGAATAATATTCATCGATTCATTAGGAATCTGTTTCCAATGCTCAGAAATAGTCTTCATACTTGCTAACACTGATAGCTTATTTCTGATTACAAAAATAATACTTATTATCGAAACTTTAGAAAAGAGCAAAATATAAAAAAGAAAAAATTCCATATGATCCCATACCCAGAGGAAATTACTGTTAGCCCTTTGGAAACTTTACAAGCATTTTGGCTTGTTTTGTTTTTGTTAAAGTTTTTTGCATTCATATCACTTTTTAAACAAAATTGGGATCATACAGTCTTCACAACTTTGTATTCTGTCATTATACTGTGAGCATTTTCCCAAGTCATTAAATATTCTTCACAAATATAATTTTAATGACTGCATAGTACTCCACCAAGAGTATATGCCATGATTACTGAGCATTTAGGTCATCTACCTCGTACAAACAACACTACCATGAGCATCCTAGCCTAGTGCTGTAAGTATACATGCCTGCAACTCCACTTCTTTCGGATCAATTCCTCTAGGTAGAATTACAAAGTCGACAAATTGATTTTCTTTTTTTTTTTTTTTTTTTTTTTTGTTTTTTTTTTTGATACTGTCTCTCTCTGTGCCCAGGCTGGAGTGCAGTGGCACGATCTCGGCTCACTGCAACCTCCACCTCCCATGTTCAAGGGATTCTCCTGCCTCTGCCTTCCAAGTAGCTGGGATCATAGGCACACACCACCATCCCTGGCTAATTTTTGTATTTTTAGTAGAGACAGAGTTTCACCATGTTGGCCAGGCTGGACTGGAACTCCTGACCTCAAGTGATCCACCTGCCTCAGCCTCCCAAGGTACTGGGATTACAGGCATGAGCCACCACACCCGGCCAACAAATTGATATTTTTAAAGCATCTTGACATGTATTGCCATATTGATTTCCAGAAAGACACAACAAATCCATTGATTTTCCTGAGCCAAGTGAGAGCTGAGGTTCTGAAAGAGCTGGAGTATTACAATGCAGGACAATGGTCCCATCTCTCCTCCTCTCCCCTGGTCTTAAAAGTTAAAAAAGACAGAATTCCAGCTCAAAAGATAGGGGTCTACAGCCTAGCACCCAGCACCGAGGTCTGGCTGGCTTTGGGAGCCTAAAGCGAGCCTTGGTTCTCCTCATCTGTAAAATGGGTATAGCGTGAATAGCTCTGCTCTGCGGACTACCCCAGGCAGTGTTCATGCTCACTGAAAATGTGTTTGTGAAAGTTCGATGCCTTGTGTTAAAGGGCCCTATTATTATCCTTCTCATAACTTGAGGGGCTGAGGAAGTAGGGTGTTCTTTGTGAACGCCCAAGTGCTTCCCTTCCTGGCTTTCAGCCATCATGCCCAGGACAAGTGCCGCTGGTTCTGAGGGTGAAAGAAAAGCATCTTCTTGAGGGAATTTCGTAGGGTTTGAGGGCCCAGGAGGACCCAGCAGTGTCTTCCAAAGGTCAGAGGCAGCATAGGAAGCTCCAAGACAAGAATGGCGGGCTGGGAACTGGGAGACTGGGCCTAGGGCCACCCTGAAGGTGCTGAGTGGGTCGGGGGGCAGAGGTAGAAAGCAAAGACATTCCTGGTAAATAAATGTCCCTGTGTTTCAAGGCTCCCAGCCCCTCTTTTCTAGGGCTCTTGACTGGATATCTGGTCTTTGGGAAAAACAGAAATCAAACTAATTCAATGGATGCAAAAAGCCAACGACTGCAAGGATCCCAAGAACCAGCAGCTCGGACCCTTTTTTCCAGGCTGCTGTAAGCCCATCCTGAATTCTTAAAACCCTCCCATTGGAAATGCAACTAGTGCTCCCAGCCTGGTCTCCCCAACCCTAGGCCGATGGAAAGGAGACCGAGGTGGCTCCCTGGAGAAGCTGAGCCGGACGACCCGAGCTTCCCTCCTCACTCCCCACTCCCCTATCGACCCGGCAAACGTCCTTCCCCACCTCTTCAGGCTCGCCTAGCACCACGGCCTGGGGGACTCCAGTGACGTTCCCAGCGCCAGCAGACAGAACTGCGCAGACCCCGCGGGACGCCATCCTCCATCACCATCGCCGCCGGCTGCCCCCCAACCCCAGCCCTCTCCACCGCCAGAGGTGCAGCCCCGGCCTCCAGACACCCACAACAGGTGTCGTCTGCCCGTGCTCCCCAACCACACCTCCCCGGCCCTCCACCTGCGCCCCAGTCCTCCGGCTGCGCCCGGCCGGCCGGGCAGCCTACCTTTGAGGTTCTGGGGGTGGCCCCGCGGCGCGCGGCTCGGGTTTCCTCGGGGCAGCGAGGGGATACTGGAGAAGTTGTTACCCATGGCATCCGGCCCCAGGGGGTTCGGCGCTCGCAGGTGGGGGCGAGGCCGGGCCGGAGCGGAGGTGCGGTGTGCGAGTGTGCGCGCGCCGGTGCGCGCCGCCGGGGGAGGGCCCTGCTGGGGCTGCGGCCGGGGGCGGGAAGGCCGCTCCTCTGCTTCCTCTTCGGGACTTCGCGGTCCTTGGCGGGTCCCGCCCGCTGTGGGTGCCCTGGCGCGAGCGGGCTACCTGCCTCCCATGCCCAGCGGCGGGAGCGGGGGCCACTGGCAGGCCCCTGGGCCGGGGCCAGGGGCACCCGGAGCTCCCGGCTTCCTCCCGGGGGCGCTCGGGTTCCGGCTGAGGGTGGGCGGCGCGGCGGCTCCGGCGCGCTCCCCCCGGGCCATAGAGTCAGGGCCCCCGGCGCGGGCTCTCGGCGTCTCCGAGGCAAGCTCTGTCACCGCCCCGCAGGGACGGCCGCGGCGGCGACGTGCGTGGCGCCCTCCCGCCCGCGGGTGTGCATGGAGCGGGGCTCGGCGGAGCGCGGGGCGTGCTGGGCGCTCCCACCACGGCTGGTGTCCCCCGACCGCCGCGCTCCCGCCCGCGCCGGGTCCCTCCCGCTACCGGCGCCCCCTCCCCCCGCCCCGCGCCCCGGCCGTCGCCAGGATTCCCTCTCTCCGGTTGTTATGGTGACAGCTGCGCCGGTGAATGAGCGTCTTAGTGACACGCGCGTGCCTGCCCGGCCAGATGTGGCCCCGGGACGCGCCGCGTTCCCGTAGCTGCAAATTCTCCGCGGCGCGAGGGCGCCGAGACGCGGCGCGGGTCGGAGTAAGACCTCAGGCAAGGATGGCGGCCCCCGGGGCTGGCCTTATTCTCAGCACGGAACCGTGGAACTTGCACTTGAAAACAAGGGGAGCAGGGCCGCAAGAACGCCGAGCTCCCTGGATGCGAGGGCGGGCGAGCCAGCGCTAACGTTCGGTTTCCCTAGCCCCAGGTACCCCGCCTGGCGCACAGTGGAGAGCTCAGGGAAACACGTCAATGAGGAGCGGATGCTTGAATAAAGGAATTGAGATTAGGACTCCGGCACCTGACCCCGACTCTCAGCCTGAGTAGGGGCGCTAGGGCAAGGGTTCAGAGCAGGAACCCCGGGCAGTCTCCCTGCCGCACGAATGCCACTGGGGGCCTTTGAATTCCCACGGACCAGACCCACGAGCCTGGGGCTCTGGCCAAGCTGAGGGAAGAGATCTCCGGGATAGATCATCAGAAGACCACCAGCTCTGAACTGAGTGGTTCTATCAGCTGTAACAAGGTGGGGGAGAGGAGCCTCTGCGGCCTATGGCAGTCAAAGGAGGCTTCCTGGAGGAAAGGGGCTTCTGCAAGTGCCCTGCTCATGTGGTCAGCGCATTCCTGTAGCTTAGAACTGCACCGAGAATCCTGCAGGAAGCGAAAGGGAAATCATTCTTCTGCCTGCACCTGGGGCATCTCTCCTGGTCTATCAGGGATAGAAGATGTTCCACGCTTTCCCCGGGGAATCAGCCTTCCTGCTCTGCCAAGTCATTTCTAGCTCCCTGACCTGGCTTCAGCAATTCTGGTCCAGAGTCCAGTGAAGACATGGGTGGGCAGGGGGGCGTCTCATTTATCTTTTCTATAATAGAAGCCTCTTTCCCGAGTCTCCATTTGGCGGGTCCTTGTTATCTAGGCAGAATTCATGTCCTGACCTTCCCTGACTGTCCCAACTAAAGAACCCCCTCCCAACTAAAGTTACTTTCCGTGATATTGCATTTTATTTTCTTCATAGCTTGTATATATGGAATTCGTTTACAAGTAGCCTTTCCTCCTTGTTTATCTCCTGCCTCCCCTGCTAGAGCATAAGCTCTGTGAGGGGAGAGCACAGGTCAGTCATGTTCACCAGGGTGTCCCTACCCCTTGGGGGAGTGCCTGCTACATCACAGGTTCTCAGAAAATAATTGTGGAATGTGTGCTTCCCGCTGCGGGCGGGGAGACTCCACTGAGATCCTTGGGAGCGGAGCCTCCTGAACAGCCCTTTATTTCCCACTCCTGCTCTCCTCTCTCCATCCCCATTCCAGACATCACACCCTTAAATGTCCGGGACTCCAAGCAAGCTAGAAATATCTGTGACAGCCGCCCTCTCTCTGGGATCTGTAGGGAAAGACAGACCCGACCCCAGCCTCCAGCCTCCCGGATGCCCAGGATCACGTGTGCAAGCAGCTGCAGATGGCCACAGCAGGTCAGGGATGGTTGTCTTATTTATGGGCAGTATCTTCCCAAAGCTCACTCCCAGCTAATGACTCATGTGTCAGAAATCCGTGGGCTCTGAATGGCAACACACTCACACATGTGCACACACACACTACTACACACACACTTATATTCCCCCTGAAATCTGCTGGAATGAAGTCACTATCAGTGGCCACTAGGATCAGGCCTTTCACAAGTTAGAACAAATATGAGGACTTTCCATAGTTGCGACTCATTCCCCTGGAGTGTGTGTGAAGTACAAGGGCCTTGCTAGGATTTACAGACAGTGGCTCCAGGGAAGCCCAGCGTGGGCAAAGGAATGGGGGAGAAGATGAGGCTCCAAAGGTAGAGCATGGCCCGGATTTCTCAAACTCCTGACCTCAGGTGATCCACCCTCCTCAGCCTCCCAAAGTGCTGGGATTACAGGCGTGAACCACCTTGCCCGGTGAGGGATGTCACAGGCCCCACGTGGCCTAGACCTGGGGCTATGGGCAAAGCAGGGGAGAGAAAAAGAAGGTCAAAGGGAAGGAAGGAAGTGAGGGCTGGAGGTGGGCGCTCACCTGAGTCCAGAGGCAGCTCTGGTTCTGCAGCTCAGGACAGCCTGATTCCAGGGAGTCCTAAAGGAAGGTGAGAGGCATCAGGGACAAAGGCAGGGAACTGAGGGTTGAGGAGCTGATGGGAGGATCAACAGGGCTGAGATAGGATGAGGCAGCCAAGGCATCCCTGGTGCAAAATTGAAGGAGGTGCTCACTCCCAAGGTCATGCAGATACCAACCTTGCACTTGCATTTCACCCCCTAGGCCCACCCCCAACCCCAGCTTCCACCCTAGTCCTTCAGGGAGCTCTGTACTGCAACAGAGGACACCACTGGTAGTGTCAACTAGGTCTCTGGCCAGGAAGGGACCTAGAGGAGGTTGATGTGGCTGCATAGGACCCAGAGAAGCTGAGCGCCACCCTTCTGAGGAGTCCGGTGCCCCAGAAACTGTTCCCTGACAGGGACTTGGGGTAGACACAGCTCAAAGGGTCAAAGGCCAGCACTCTCCGTACCCCCAGACCTTGGGCAGAACCTGGAGGCCTTCCTGTCATCCTTCCCCAAGGCAGCTGCTGGGAAACATGGGGTGGGGGACAGGCTGGGTGGTGACTCTGATCCAGAGGACCCTTCCCAGCCCCATCCTAGAAGGTAAGAGGGAGAAGGACCCTGCCAGGGAGACTGGGCTGGGGGAAGCTATTAATACCCACAAGGTGGTGTTCCAACACTAGTCACCGTGGCAACACCCACCCACCCCCAGCAGTGTGGATTCTGTGGGCAGTGCCTGACAGGGTGGTGTCAGTGCATACATGTGCACTTCTGCAAACACCTGAGTCCTTGTATGTGCGTGCGTAGGTGTTGTGAGTGCACACACAGGCACACAGGACAGGGAGGCCCCGGACAGGGACCTGGGGAAGCTTCCTTCAACAGCAGCTCAGCTCCCACCTTCCCTTCCTTCCCTGTTGCTCTCTTCTGGCTCGTTTCTTTTCTTTTTTTTTAAGACAAAGTCTTGCCCAGTGGGAGTGCAGTGGCACGATGTTGGCTCACAGCAGTCTTACAACCTCTGCCTCCTGGGGTCAAGCAGTTTTCCAGCCTCAGCCTCAGCTTCCTGAGTAGTTGGGATTACAGGCACACACCACCACGTCTGGCCAATTTTTGTATTTTTAATTGTTGGCCAGGCTGGTCTTGAACTCCTGACTTCAAGTGATCCGCCCTCCTCAGCCTCCCAAAGTGCTGGAATTACAGGCATGAGCCACCGCGTGCGGCTCTGTTTGTGTTTTTTAGGAGATGAGGTCTCAGCTCAGGCTGGTCTTGAACTCCTGGCTTCAGATCCCGACTAGGCCTCCCAAAGCACTGGGATTATAGGCATGTGCCACCATGTCCACCCAGCCACCAACCCATAGTTAATCACGCTATCAGAAAAGCTGTGGGGGGAGGGGTGGTGTCCTGCCTGAACTTGAAGGAGTGGGGGGACAAGTTGGAGGGGTAGATCCCTGAGTGCCTGTGCCTGATGCTTAGTGTATACTCAATAACTAGTTACAAAATGAATCAATGAATAAAAAAATGAATAGATTAATCTGTCAGGCCCTCCCTCTGAAGGATGGAAATCTGTGCTGCCCATGCTAGCATGGAATGGGCCCTATGCCATCTTATTCCAAGGTATTTTTGGGATTCAGCTTCACTCATTGCCCAGTGACCATTTATTGAGCATTACCTGTGTGCCTGGCACCTAGCGAGGTGCAGTTTCATTGCTGGCACCATGGGGCAGCCTGTCCTCTGCTTTTTGTGCATGCCAGTCCCAGTTCCCCACCTCCCAGCCCCAGGTTCAGAGCCAAACATACAGTAGGTCTGATCACATTTATGGGCTGGGCAGGTTGCTCTGAGCTTTAAACCTTTTTGATCATGCACCTTTAGCAGTAATAAATTTTTAAAGCATGTACACTAATATATGTGTATTTCTTTATTTACAATTTCTATATATACCCTACTGCATTCACATTGTGTATATTATGAAACATACACTAAATAGACTAATGAGATTGAGAAATGGATCATCTTGCCCTCCTCCTGGAGTACACACATGCTCTAGACTAATAATTCTCAAACTTAGATGTGCATCAGAATCATCTATGAGGCCTTGGGGAGTGGAGAGAGAAAGTTACTAAAATGCAAATTCCCAGACCTCACCTGGAGAGATTTAGATTGAGCAGAGTCTGATCAGCTCATTTACTGATCACACCTAGGGAACTGCTCCACATGGTCACGTGTTCTAGTTGTGAGGATGATGTTTCAAGAAGGCCTACCAGCTTTCTCAGGGAAAGCTGGACACCCCATGGGGACCAGGCCAGTACTGGCTGCCACCCAACAGGGCTAACCTTATTGGAAGAGGTAACTGTGCAGGGAGGTAGCAAGGGGGGATCCCAGCCCCTTCCTCTGCTCCACAGACAAACTTGCCCTCTGGGAAGTGGCCCCTGAATCCAGGATCAATTGTGAGGTCTTCATAGACCCCTAAACTCTTATTTTGGAGCCCAACCCCATCAGACCAAATGTGCTAAAATATACCACATTCCATATTAAACATAATTTTCTTGCAGTAAACATTTTGAAAGGATTTTTAAAATTTGGCTTTTGGAATCACTGGACGGCAAGGGAGTCACTGAATATACAACTGGTTTTATTTCTAAACAATCATGCATGTGTTGGATGTCTTGCCAAGTGAGAAAAAAACTATGATTGTCTTCAAATATAATGAAATGTTTATGAGTACTACATTTAATAATTAATGACATTGATACAACAAAGTCATTTAAGTGAACATTTATTAATTTTGGTTTTGAAGTT